AAAAATTAAGCATTGACTTCTTGAGCATGGCATGTGAAGTTTAACTGCTCTGTCACAGTTTTTCTTCTTCAGTCAGTGGCTGCAGCTCCCCATCTGTTTGCTTTCGTAGCTCTTGTGTCACGGTCATGGTCTCGTTCAAAGTAGTACAAATGCGGTTCTTAGTCTCCTGCTGCTCAATACCAATGGGTTCAAAATGTGCGTATGAAGTTTGGTATTGAGACCTTATCACTGACAATTCCTGTAAGAGTGTAACTGGATTTTTCTTGCCAGCTGAATCAGGATGATTAGTCTTGATTTCATACTCCACCCTATATGGAATGTAATAGAGACCAGAGCCAGCTTTCTCGAATATCAGTTCCAGCTTATTGGCCTCTGCCTACATGTTGAATGGTTAACATTCCTCCGACCCTGGTGGCATTTAAGCTGCAAAACTTCTGGAATAATATTCTTAATGGTGGCGGAGACAAAATTGAATAACTGGTTTATCCAAATTATTAGCAGCATTTATTTCCTGTGACAATGAAATGCACATTGCTTTGCAGGGCCTGGAGGACTGTTTCCAGGAGGAGGAGCGGCTCAGAGCACAGGTGCGCCTGCTGGAGACTCGGGTCAAACAGCAACAGGTCAAGATTGCACAGCTTTTGCATGAGAAGGAAATCCAATTCCTCGACAAAGGAGAGGAGAATAGTATAATTGACCTTGGAAGCAAGAGGCAGTATGCAGGTCAGGATCAACTGAGATTTTCAATAACTTTTATGTATACTCAGGCAACAAACAACATGAAATGTATCGATTTAAAATGTCTTCTACAATGCTGTATACTTTTCTCTCTATAATGTACTCTTTTTCTTTCTTTCTTTTATTTTCTTTTGGTTTTTGAGACAAGGTCTTGGTATGTGGTTCAGGCTGATCTTGAATTCGCTATGTATCACAGGCTGGCTTTGAACTTGTAGTGGTCCTCCTGCCTTAGCCTCCTGAGGGCTGAAATTACAGGCATGTGCCACCATGCCTGGCATCTCTATATTATATAGTCAAGCAATGTTTACTAAGAAGGAAAAATATCTGAGAATTTTTATAGTTTAATAAGAAATCACAATTGATTTTATTTTTATTTTTTCAATTCTAATTTTTTGTTAGTATATGTTTGGGATACATATCCATCACATTCTTTGTGGGGAGTTGGTCCACATATGTAATGCATCTCAATTGCCTTTTACCCCCTTTCCCTTTCCTCTCTCCCCTCCCTCCATCTCTTACTCCCTGCCCCTCTGCAGAAGATCTCTCTCCCTACTTCCTATCAAGATAACAGATTTTTAAATATTAGTGTACAGATGGCAGGTTATTGCTGTGAATTTTTTCAGGTTTTATTTTTTATCAGCACATGTTTCCAATATGCAATGATTACACTCCTTATGAGGAGTTGGTACTTGTACATGACACATCTTAATTCTTGTTTTCAACCTGTTCCCTGGTAGCCTCTCACCTCTGAATCCTCTTCCATATGGGAGAGATTTGTCTCTTTATTTTTTATTATCTGTCCTTCATTTTGTACTTTATTTATATTTTTGGTTTCACATGTAAGAGAAACTTTGCCATATTTAAGCTGTGTGTCTAACATTTCACTTAATATGGTCTCAAGGTGCATCCTTTTTCTTACAAATGACTTCAGTTTATTTTTCATGGCAAGTATACTCTATTATGTACAAATGCCAGGTTTTCCTTCCCCATTAATCTGGTTTTCGGGGTGTTTTCTGTTTTTTCTTATCCATTCATCCATTGCTGGACCTATAGATACTGCTTCCAGAATTCCACTGTTATGCATTGTGCTGCTATAAACATGGATATGCACATACACTGTAATATGACATCTTTAACTCTTTCAGTAAGATACCTAGAGGGGAACAGCTGAGTCAGATGGAATTTCCAGTTTTAGTTTTTGAGGACTCTCCATACTGATTTCCATAGTGATTATACTAATTTACATTTCCACCAACAAAATAGAAGGGTTCCTTTTTCCACAGCCTCACCAACATTTGTTGTTTGATTTCTTGGTGATAGTCACTTTTTCCAGAGTAAGACGGAATCTCAGTGTTGTTTTAATTTGCATTTCTCTAATGGCCAGAGATGTTGGACATTTTTTCATGTGTTTATTGGTTATTTATACTTCTTCTGAGAAGTGTCTATACATCACTATATAGCCCAGGATGGCCTAGAACTCTCAGGGATCCCCCGCCTCTGCCTCCCAAGTGCTGGGATTACAGGCATGCACTACCACGCCCAGCCCATAGAATGTTTAGAACATAAAATCAGAATGTGGAAAAGACACCTGCACTCCATAGTCATTGCAGCACAATTAGCTAGGATAAGGGATCAACCTATATCATCAGTGGATAAATGGGGAAACCGCTAGATGTATACATAGGGATATATATAATAAAACACTATTTCACCTTTAAAAAGAAGAAATTCCTGTCATTTTGATAACATGGATGAATTCAGGGATTATTACATGAAATAAACCAGGCACAGAAAGATAAATACTCCATAATTTCATTCTTCTGAGGAATCTGTAAGAGTTGAACGCATAGAAGCGAAATAGAATGGTGAAAAGGGTGAGAATGAGGGCTGCTGTAGAAGCCGGGAGGTAATTGGTGGGGAGAGCCATCGAAGGTGTTATAGAGAATTTCAATTGATAGGAGAGACAAAAATAATTTTCAAGGAGCAGAAGTATGTGGTAGGACCAGAACTCAGACATTACCTGCTGTCAGGCTTTACTTCCGCATGCTACCTTCCAGGTGCACTAGGGTTATTTCAGTGTCCCAGCGGCACCCTTCCCTCCTGAACTCTTGGGACTCTGTTAGCCCTTCCCTCCACCTGGAGCACCCCTGCTTCACTCTCTTCCCCTAAGCTGACTCCTACGATTCCTCCTTCAGACCGCAGTTTAATCCTTACTTCTTTCAGAAAGTTTAAAAAATTTTATTGGTACATATTTGCAGTACAAAATGATTGCATTGCTCATGGGGAGTTGGTATGGGTACAGGACACATCTTAATTCTTATCTAAATCAGGTGTGGTGGTGCACGCCTGTAATCCCAGCACTCTGGAGGCTGAGGCAGGAGGACCGTTGTGAGTTCGAGACCAGCCTGGGCTACAAAGTGAACTCAACGCCAGCCTGAACTGCATAGCGAGACCCTGTCTCAAGAAGACAAAAAAAATTTTTTTATCTATCCCCTGTGCTCCCCTTCCTTCTCCCCACTCCATCTGTTGGTTCTCTTCCCTTATGAAAAAGAACTGTCTCTCTAATTCCTCTTATCTTTTATTTTTCTCCTTGTTTATATTTTCAATTTCTCACATAGGAGAAACCATGTGATATTTAAGCTTGTGTGTTTGATTTATTTCACTCAACATGATGGTCTCAGTTGATGCTCCACCGTGTACAATTGTCACTTTGTCTTTATCCATTCATCTGTTGAGGGATATGCAGGCTGCTTCCGAGAGTAAGCTCTTCTGATTTGTGCTGCTGTAAACATGGGCATGCGTGTATCACTACATGGAGTCTTTAACTCATCCCAGAAGACACATAGAAAGGGAATAGCTGGGTTAAATAGAATTTCTATTTTTAGTGGGTTTTTGTTTTTGTTTTTAGAACTCTCTTCACTGATTTCTAGAGTGGTTGCAATAGTTCACATTCCCACCAGCAGTGTAGAGGGTGTGTTTTTCCCTGAAGCCCACATTGTTCACTGTTTGGTTTTTTGATGACAGCCACTCTTACTGGAGACCAGCCTGGGCTACAGGTAAGTTGAAATCTCAGTGTTATTTTAATTTGCATTTCTCTAGTGGTCAGAGATGTTGAGCATTTCCCATATATGTATTGGCCATTTGTACTTCTTCTGATGTGTTTATTTATTGCAGATGCCCTTTCTTGTTTATTTGTTTTTTGAGACAGGGTCTTACATATAGTGCAGCTTTACCTTTAACTTGTTTATGCAGCCCGCACTCACCTTGAACTCATAGTGATCCTTTCCCCTCCCTTCCAAGTGCTGGGACTGCAGGCACATGCCACCATGTCTGGCACCAGTTACCCATTTTTTGATTGTGTCTTTTATATTGGAGGACCTATTTGGTAAAAAATTCTTTATATATTCTAAGTATTAGTCTTCCATCTGGGGAATGGCTGGCAAAATTTTCATTTTGTAGATTGTCTCTGCACTCTATTGGTTGTTTCTTTTCTTGTGCAGAAGCACTTTAATTTAAGTTGATTCTATTTGAGGATCCTTACTATTACTTTTGTGCAATTGGTTCTGTTCAAGATGTCCTTGCCTATGCCTGTGTCTTCAGGAGTTGTACCTAACTATCTTCCAGCACATTAAGTTTTTCTATTTTAACATTTAGACCTTTGATCCGTTGTGATTTTAGTTTAGTACACGGTGAAAGATACGGGTCTACATTCAATCTTCTGCACATAGCGAGCCAGTTTTCCCAGTACCATTTTCATGCATGCTTCACTGTCCTTCACCCCTGGCTGAACTGCCCAGTTTCTTGTTGTATCTTTAGCACCTAACATGGTGACTGGCATATAATAAATGTTCTGTACATATTTTAAAAATTTAATTAGTGGAACAGATCAAGTGAAAGAAAGTGAAGGCATACACTTCAAAGATGCACATGGGGTCAAAACTACAGTTATTTGAACAAGAACTTGAGAAAAAGCAGCAGCTTGGTTAGTCAAGAGATAAGCCCACAGATAAGATATTCCACAGGTAAGCACAAACCTGATCGCAATGGCAGGGAGCTAGTGGATGCAAGTGGGGTGCCATTATCCCCAGTTCCAAACAAGCTCCAGATTCAGGGTATCTATTCAAATAGCATCTGAGCAGGTTAGCAGCACAGGCTCAAGGGTCAGATCATGTTAAGAGGTGGGCAATTGGGTATTTATCAGTGGGGCTACACAACCAGTCATAGGAAGACTGAGAATGAGATAAAAATCCAGTTTCTGTGTCGAGAGCACTGGGGAGCAGACCTAGGAAATAAGAAGTCACCAAAAAGAAAACAAGAAACTGAAATGCCAAGCTCAGAGCAAGACTTAGGTAAGAGAGTCACAATGAGAGAGTTCAGAAAAACCATTATTGTGTGTGCACAATATAACGATAAGAGAGATGATAGGCATTCTAGATGACCATTTCTAGGTATAAGAATAAATTAAAATCCAGCAGTTAGCAGATTTCCATTTAATGTCTTCATATACGTTACAGGCATGAAGGAGAAGGAACAAAATCTGAAATATAGCAAACTTTAATTATACACTATTTTTCAGTGTACAGATAAATAGTACTGGAGAGTCTACCACGAACACTTAATGAATAAAACACACAACACATAAATTCCAATTAAATGGGCTATAACATAGTATGCATACTATAATATTTTAAAATGCTTAAGATCCTGTTCACATCAAAGTTTATGATTTTGATGCCCTTGAACTTTAAAAAAAAAGCTACTCATATATATGATCTGTAGAGATATAAATTTCTTTGTTCTTATCTCTTTTGTTTACAAATTACTATATTACTTCTAAATTGGTTATTTTCTGAACTCTAATTCATTCATGGTAGAAATCATCTAATTACATACAGCCTAGCAATTTGTGCAAACAATGCACAAATCACACATTTTTATAGCATGTAATTAAACTGTATCTTTTAAAAGCACTTGGGTACTATTGCACTATGAATTAAAAGATTATGGTACCAAATTCACATGTGTTGTGACAGTCACAGCAATCTGGCACCAGGTCTGTTCAGCCAATGAGACTCTGGCTGCACTATGGCCCTGCTTCCGGAGCTCCCAGTCTGGTGTCCATCACTTGAGGCAGTATGTCAGTGAGGTGCAGGCCTGGACAGCCAGTTTCTAAGTCCTGCTGCTTATCTTGCTAGCTGGGGTCTTTGGGTAAATTTCTCAACCTCTGTATGCCTCATGTTGTTTATTTGTAAAATGATAATATCTGTTTATTTGTTGAGAAGATTGAGTAATGTGTTTTGTTTTGTTTTTTTTTTTGTACTAAGGATTGAATACTGACCCTCACATATGCTAGGCAATGTGCTAAGGCCCAGACCTTTGTTAAAATTTATTTTGAGAAAAATGTCTCACTAAATTGCCCAGGCTGGCCTTGAACTTGCAATCCTCCCACCTCAGCCTCCTAAGTACCTGGGATTATAGACACATGCTTGGCTATATCTTTAGCCCAAAGGAAGTGCTCAATGAATGTCATTGATCTATGGACATTATCTTCTCTTTTTTCCTTTTAGAGGAAAGGCCCTGCCCATTCCACCCTACTAGAATACACATACTCCAGAGAGGGACCTTCCTTCCTCCTCTTAGTTTCCTTCTTATGTGGCCTGGGAGTGAGGGTGGCGGTGGCGGTGGCAGCGTTGGTTCTGGCAGGCCCAGCTTGATCTGTGAGCTGGCAGCTGACCTTGTTCCTGGCTTATCCTTTAGACTGAAAAATATGGGGTACTACCTACAGAAGGGGGAAAATTTGCCAGCTATTTTTCAGGCAGACGATTAATATCTAGAATATATGAGGAACTCAAAAAAATTAGGCCACCCGAAATAAAAGACCTAATCAAAAAATGGACAACTGAGTGAATAGACACTTCTCCAAAGTAAAAATGGCTAATAAATACAAAAAAAAGTTCAACATCTGGCTATTAGAGAAATGTAAATTTATTTTCAATTTTTTATCAGATGTTATTGGTACATTTTAGATACACGCAGTGATCACATTCATCGTGAAGAATTTGGACCTGATATAACTTGATTCTTTCTTTCCATTCCCCTACCCTCCCTTCAACCCCTCTTCCCTTCCTCATGTACGAAAGATTTGTTTCCATTGTTCCTTCTTTTCTCACTTTTTTTACTTTTCCCTTCTTTCTTTTCCCCCTACCCCATCTCTTGCTCCCCTCCCCATGTGAACATTTTTTCCTAGAGAAATGCAAATTTGAACAATTCTGAGATTCCATCTCACTCCAGAAAGAACGGTGTCAGCAGGAAATCAAACAACAACAAATAGTGGTGGGGGCTGCAGGATGAAAAGAACCCTTCTACATTGTTGGTGGGAGTGTGAACTAGTACAACCACTGTGGAAATCAGGATGAAGGTTCTTCAAAACACTAAAGTTAGAAATTCCACACAGCAATTCTCCTTCTAGGTATCTTCCTGAAAGAGTTAAAGTCATCAAAGCACAGCGATACATGCATGCCTGTATTTATAGCAGCACAGGTCATAGTAGCTAAATCTTGGAAGAAGCCCATATGTACATCAACAGATGAGTGGATAAAGAAAGCATGGTGTTTGTACACAGTGGAGTACTACTCTGTCATAAAGAAGAGTAAACTTGAGTCACTATAGGAAAATGGATGCGCTTTGAGACCATATGGCACAGTTTCTCATATAATACAAATAAAGAGCAAAATGAAAGATAGATTTAGGAAGTAGCAAGACAGATCTTTTTCAAATGGAAAGGGGATCAAGAGATAGAGGGAGAGAAGAGGGAAGGGGAAGAGGATGAAGAGAGAATTGAGATGTGTACCTGCATCAACTCCTCACAAAGAATATAATCATTATGTACTGCAAACATGTACTAATGAATAATAAAAAAAGAATGCATTTAAATTCTGCCTTGGTTTGCAGCTCTGAACCTCAGCCATCTCTCTAAGATAAAAGGAAAATTCCCCTTTGGCAAGCTGGCATGTCACTTTATGAAGCTTATGCTCACTCAGCCTTCCAACATGGCTTGCTTTCTGCATACAGAAACCATTCACATTACCCAGTGTAATGCAATGTTTGTCCAAGGAGCGGGCAGGAAGCCCTGGCTTCTCGCTAGTATTATGGAAATATCAGAGCATCTTTACTTTTTAAAGCTCCCATAAACGCAGAGCTCTCTAATCTTGCCCTTCTCTACCTATTCTCCAGGGGACTGAGTGGGTGAAAACATTTTGAAAAATCACAGTTTTAAATATATAGTTTTAAACTCTACATTGGTCAGACTTTCTGCTATCTCAATTTAAGTCACATTTTACAAGATAGGCTCCTTAACTTGTTTGCTCACTATAACTGGTTGAACTCTTGGTACTTTTTTGCGGGGGGAGGAATATGTGTTTATTTGTTAAGATTTTTCTCCCATGATTTTTTTTCCATTGAAAGTCGTCCTCTGGATCTTATATTGTGTTTGGCATTTTCTTCTTTGGAGAAGGAAAATTTTAAAAACAAATACATACACAGCATAAAATAAAAACAAACAGAAAATGTTGGCAGAATTTTCCATATTCATGAAGTTTTCCAGAGGCAAATGTTATAGCTGAATATTTCCATATTTGCCTGGAGAATAGTTTGAGCTTTGTAAGTTTTTGCTAGTCAGGCCTTTGGTGGAAGATTAATGTAAACGAGGAACTCCTTTCCTAACTGGCTTGAAATGTGTTTATTTTAATGAGTGTGTTTTACAGCGTACCTGACCACAAGATGTAAGTTTTTAATAACATGGGCTAATTTTATGTAACCATTTCCCTATTGTTTTTCTTCTTGTTTGATCACAAACAAGATCTTTTTTGTAATCCAACATGTATATGAAATATTGTGCATCTGAATCTTGAAAATATAGTACATATACAGATAAAGCCTAAATCACTACAAAGATGAATATTTCACTAAAGCAAGTGTATCATTGCTTTCAGCCTCATGAAAGCTTTATAAAGTATCTGAGGTTTTTTCTTTATTTTTTCTCTTCTCATTCTTACTATCCATACTTAGCATGCAGTTTATTTTAGCTGTAACAAAACAGTTGTAGACGATTCAGCATCAAAACAATGAACATGAACAAAGAATTTAAAAATATGTTAAAGGATTCAATTAGGAACAAAACATTGTATTTATATATTTATTTATTTATAGAAAACAGTCTAAGAGAAAATTACTAAAGTGATTAGAGTAAAATGTGAGTTAAAATTGTTGAAATGTTTTTACTTGGAAGTCTATGGCTAATTATTCTTGAGGCTATCTTTTTGTAGTGGTCACTGCTTCAGCCACTCCACGATATAGTTTTCTGAGCACCTAAGTAATTCTTAACTACATTTTCTAAGTCTGTGCAGAAGATAGGTCCAAGCGAGATACAATGGATATTAAGTTGCTCCATCCTCAAGTGGCTTAAGAAATAAATATTGCATCTTGCTGAAAAATTGCCAGCTATCTTATGTCACTGATGAAAGGGACCCAATGGCAAAGACAAATGCAAGGCTGAAAAGAGTAGCAGAAGCTTGCAGATTTTAGCTAAAACACCCAAGAAATTGTGGACAACTAGAAATTACAGTAGGAAAAGATAAATTACAAATACAAAAAAAGAAAGAAATTAATTTCAGTGAGATCAGGCATATAAGCACAGGCCTATTATCCCATTACTTAAGAGGCTGAAGCAGGAGGATCGCTCCAAATTCAAGGCCACCCTGGGCTCCACAGTGAGTGTAAAGGCAGCCTGAGCTACGTAGAGAAACCTGGTCTCAAAACTAAAGAAAAGAAATTTCTGTGGGTTAGTAAAAAAAAAAAATCTTGTGAGACTGACAAAAGTTATAAGAACTAACAAGATTAGGATTTGGGGCTTATTTCCAGATGTTCAGATGAGCAAGTCTTTAAATCAAGACACCCAATATTAAATTATTGGCTTAGTGTTATATTTCTACTTTCATTTTTAGCTTTATAGTAGAGATACGTTCTTCTGTGCTGATTAATAAAGCTATAAATTCCCCTTACACTGTAATTAATCAAACACATATTTATTTTTAAATTGTTTTCTACAAAATCATTAATAAGAAAATGATTCCTATTTTGTTCTTTTTTTTCTTGTGATCATATCAAGAAATCAGATGATAATTAAATCTAGGGACAAAAATAAAATGACTTGCCTAGTGTTGGAATATGTACAAAACGTACAAGATAAAATTTTATAAAGTTGATTATCTATACTATGTGTTTATCTGTCTCCATTGGTATTGAGTAATCTCAAACCTTTAAAAAAAGACACATGATAAATGTTACAGTGCCTTGTTTTGTGAATAGATTGTTCAGAAATTTTCAATGGTGGATATCAGCGCAGTGGATTTTACAAAATCAAACCTCTCCAGAGCCCAGTGGAACTCTCTGTTTATTGTGACATGTCTGACGGCGGAGGATGGACTGTAATTCAGAGACGAGCTGATGGCAGTGAAAACTTTAACAGGTGTGTTAATTACAAGGATTTCTCTGGAGCAGCAAATGTGAGGATTGTGAGATTTATGTTAAGCCTTTAAAAAATTATACCTGAAGTTTACTGATTAGACAGAATGTCATTCTCTTTAAGTAAGAGTGCTAACAATGAATTAACTAATCAAGAAAACATTAGTGGTAGGGGGTTATAGAGGGTACTTTGAGTCCTGCAGATGTCCATTTGGATTTTGATAAAAAATAAGCTTTTATTTTACATTTTTAGAGGCTGGGATGACTATGAAAATGGCTTTGGAAATTTTGTACGAAAAAATGGTGAATACTGGCTGGGTAATAAACATCTTCACCTATTGACTACACAAGGTAAACTCTGCTTGATGTCAGTTTGAAATACAAGAAAGATAACACTAAGATGTTGGCCACTAAGCCATAGGCAATGGAACTAGTTCAGTAACTGCTATGATGTGCAGATTGTAATGATACCTGTTGGACAATAGTCTCCTTTTGCAAAATGTAGCTACTTAAAATTAGGAAGAGAAGAAAAGAAACTAGAATGAGGTTGGGATTCTTTTCTTATGTATCTTTTCTATTTCTAGAAAGGAAATGTAATGTCATAAGCATGTTAATGCCTTCAGTGCCTGAAAATTATGTATTGGTTCTCTATCAGCACAATAACACTGAATAACAAGTCACTTCAAAACTTCGTGTCTTCAAAGCCACAATTTATTATTTCTCAGAAATCTACAGGTTGGCTGGTGGTTTGGCAATCAGGACTGGGCTTTGCTGATCTTTGCCAAACCTGCAGGCAGATCTGCAACCAATGCCCTTGTCAGTGAGTGGCTGGTTGCTCCAGGATGGCCTCAGACAGAAACACTCAGGCCTCTCATCTTCCAGCTCGCTAGCCCGGACTTGTCCACGTAGTAAGTCAGGGTTCCAGGATGATGGTGGGAGCACACACATCTCTTAAGACTTACACTCGGAAATGGCACATTGTCATTTTCCTTCAGTCAGTGAAAGCAAGTCATCAGACTGACTTCCATAAAACGGGGGGCAGAGGGGAGAAGTAGACAATAGGAGTTAGGAAGTAGCATTGCAAAAGTAAGAGGTGAAAAATTAGGGAATTGGAGCTATTTTTGCACTCAAATATCATAATCTACTAAATGGCCTTGTTTCTGCACCCTGTCCCATTTTTAATTTTGACAAGTCTTTGAAGATTTAGCAAAGCTGAAAGAAGTCTCAGCCTATGGCCTAGTTTCTATGTTAACATTTTATTGTGCTTGTTTTATCACATATAGCCATCTCTCTATCCTTCTATTCATCCATAAATCTAACTTTTTAGAAATATACATTAAAAAAGAAATACATATTTCAAAGTAAGTTGCAGACTTCTGTATAGCTCCTCCCTTATGCATTTACATGTACTCTTTTTAAAAATAGCCATTCATTTATTATGGGCTCATAAAATTAAGCTCTACTTTTTTTTTTTTTTAGGTTCTACATTATTAAAAGGAATGTACTAATGTGACAGCAGCATTTTTTCAATTAATACATATTATTTTTATTGAGTGGTGGGTTTTGTTTTGGTATGTGCATATATGCATTAACATATTTTTCACATGTATATTTCTAACTAGAGTTTTCTATTTGCATAAAATATTGATAATAAACTTTCCAGGCTCCTATTGTCCATGTTTCCTTGCTATCCATAGCCTTCCTTACTTTAGTTGTAGTCTGAGATTATACTCAACACCACTGAGGTTTGATATTGAATGTTTCATAAAAGGTAATTGTGTTGCCCAAGAAAACATCTTAAATCATGTTCACTATGTATTAAATATAATTTCTTTGTTCCATCTAAGCTCAGGAAAGCTATTGATCTTTCTATATTTGTAATCGTCAGTAGGGTTATAATCATAAAGATCTTTGAGACTTGAAAATACTGGCTTCAGAGGATGAACATTTTTGGAAGCCTAATACTTTTCTTTGTTGTTCTTGTGATCATTGCTGTCTAACTTTAACGTTTCTTTTCCTTTAACACAGTTCTTATCTTGTTTTTTTTTTTTTTTGCCAGATACATAACATTTACCATATCACCTTTTGTTTCTTTTGCACATTAAATTTATCTGGTGCTGAAAAAAATCAGTGATGAAAACCCCAAGCAGTGACACTTGGAGCCTCTTAAATAGAGGAAATTCAAGCTTATTTTCCACATTATTGCCATTTACAGTTTCCCTTGGATGGGTTTTGCCAAGAAGCCTGCTTCCTCCCACATGTGCTTGGTGCTGGGAATGGAGCTGTGTGCGTGCTGAGCACACGCTCTGTCACTGAGCCAGGTCCCAGGTCTTCCTTCCATAGTTTTATTTGGCATCCAGGCTGGCTACTCCTATGGACCTGAAAATTTGTTTTTCAGTTCCAGGCCTCACAACTGTGTATCATTTCATTCTGAACAGAAGACAATGCTTTCATCCCTTCATTCATAATAATGAGAACACTTAAGGCCAGAGAAATTGCCTCTGAAAATAGTTTCATCCACATTACGTAAATTTTGACTGCTTGCAACAAATTAATTTACAAATGGTTTGTAATTGCAAGGTTGTTAATTTAATGACCAAATATTTAGATAATATTTGGATAATTGCTTTTAAAATTGAAACTGACTTTATGTCTCCCCTGTAACACAAAGTACTTTTGGGGACAGCTGATGCAGCCTTGTGTACTGTTTCCAAACACGTCTCAGTCTTGGCTTGCCCGACCTTTACTGCCTTTGGAGAGAGTCTCCACCAATATCCCTTCTTAAAATTGCTCCCTAGTAGAAACTGACTCCCTCACTCCAGCAACCCTGCCCTTGTTTTCAGGGCACATTCAGACTTCTGTTGGTCTGTCCTCCTGTACTGCCAATGTGAAAACTCCTGAGCTGAGCTAGAGGAGGGCCTAAGGCACATCTTTTATCGTGGGTGTGGAAAGAGCTAGAAGTTCACTTGCAATGTTACAGGTGTGTCAAGGCCCTTACAGTGCATCAGGATAGGAAGAGAGAGAAGCCAACCGTAGCTTGGGGCCTCTCTTAGGAGTCTCCCTGTTCCCGCTTAGAGTTCTAAGGAGTCTGAGACTCTAAACAATGTGGCCTTACAGGTCATTGTCTTATTTATCAAAATAGTATAGAACACATATGAACGAATAGTTGGTTTGATTTCTAACTTCCTCTGCTCTTGACCATAGTTTTGCTGCTAAAGAAAGAATAGTTTTTATTATTTGCAAACAATGGGACAATAGGAAACACAATTCCTTAAAATAGCAACTATTTCAATCCCTTTTTTTCAGATAGTGCCTTTTTATCATCTAAAATGTTATGGTCATCAAAGTACCTCTTTTATTTTATATTTCAGGATTTGTCTGTATCATATTTATTTTTTAGCATACATAAATAATACGTGCCAAATAAATTGTTTAATTTTAAAATGCTTTTACATTCAGATATCAACTCTTCAAAAAAACCTTTTGACTCAAAGTCTTTGATATTAGTGTATTTTCCAATAATTATGATCATTTGTGCATCATGAATGTTGGGAATCCAGAATTCTTAAGGATGTTCCTCTACTACCTCTGATATTCCCTTCCCATAGAGTCCATGCCACAGACTTTGGTGCTGACATTCTCTTGAATGAGCCGATATCAAAGAAAGTTTTCACATAACACCCAGGATTCACATTTCTTCCTAAAATTGTCCTCAAAGCGTTTGCTGGCTGACATTTTATATTACCCATAAACATAAATGAGATCATACATATGTTGGTAATAATGGCTATGAGTAGCCTGGCTAAGAGAGATTATAAAATTTTATTAATAGTACTTACTTATTTTTAGAATCAAGATTCTTACTGAAATTAAGAAAACAGATCAACTGTTGCATTTTATTTTATTTTATTTTATTTTATTTATTTTTTTTTTTTGGTTTTTCTCCAACTGTTGCATTTTAAAAACTTCTTTCGAGACTTCATATTCTTGAACTACATAACGACATTGTCTGTTGTTTATTACTCACTGAACTGTACTAATTTTTAATCTATGATAGACTTAGCAGAAATTTTCTACCTTTCCTAGTGTGTCTTTCACATTTTTCAAGTAAAACAAACAATAAAGGATTCATGTTTTAAGTGTAATAGTGTTACTGTTTATTCCTCAAAGATTGATTCTTACCCAGGCATGGTGGTGCATGCCTGTAATCTCAGCACTCAGGAGGCTGAGACAGGAGTACTGCTACAAGTTCAAAGCCAGCCTGGGCTACATAGTGAGAACTTCTCTTAAAAAACAAAAACAAAAACAAAAGAACAAAAAACCAAAAAAACCCAAAACAAAACAAAAAACAAAGTCTGATTCTTGACAAAAGGAAGTGATAAATGTAAAATAGATCTATAAATTATTGGTAAACCTCATATCACATATCATATCACACATTTTAAAAAACTACAATCTTGTTTTTTTCAGGAGACTACACTTTAAAAATCGACCTTGAAGATTTTGAAAAGAATAGCCGTTATGCACAATATAAAAGTTTCAAAGTTGGAGATGAAAAGGTATAAAAATTTCCAAATAGGTAACACCATGAATTAATACTTAAAACATACATTGTAACACTGAAGTCATTAGAGATAAAAATACACAATAGAGCCTGTTCTTTGATTTACTAAATAAATATGTTTTTAAAATGGTAACTACTAATAGTGAAATTTGCCCCTTTTCCTTTAGAATTTGTATGTGTTGAATATAGGAGAATATTCTGGAACTGCTGGAGACTCCCTTTCAGGGAATTTTCATCCAGAGATGCAGTGGTGGGCCAGTCATCAAAGGATGAAGTTTAGCACATGGGACAGAGATAACGACAACTACAAAGGGAACTGTGCAGAGGAGGACCAGTCTGGCTGGTGGTTTAACAGGTTTGATGTTTTATAAACACAGTAGTGATGGTATTGATGATATCTCACTGGTAGGTATTAATTATAATGTATGAGGCCATGTTGGTCTTATTGGAAATATTAGCATTATTAAGTAATTATCCTTATTAGGATTCTTTAGCAATGGAGTGTTTTTTATTGTGCATATTAATGACATTTGAAAGATATATCATAGAAATAAATCAAATTACTACTTTTGCAAAAGCTGCAAACTGAACTATGGGTGAATTATAAATATAAGTATTTGTGGCATCGTAATAACCAATTAGTGCTTCACTTTCTTATATAATAGAAAATTGCCATTGTTATTGCTGTATTTTCCTATGTAGTACAGTACTACATTTCTATCATGTGTCTTTCATTAGTTTATTGAATCCAAGATCTCCCAAGCAGAAATTTTTTCTACAATATTCCAGAAAGCCAATCCCATCTTCCAGATGGATATTTCAGTGTTACTCTATCAACAAGATCGTTTCATTTTTAATTGTGCAAAGCTCTTTCTTTCTTTATGGACCTGAAATCTACCTTCTTAGACCTTGTCAGGTTTTCCCTCTGTATCTAGAGAGTAATTGTAATCCCTTTCCAACATAATTCTTCAGGTGCTTAACCAAAAATTGATTTATTGCCTTCCTTAGTATTTTCTCTTCTGTGGGCCAAATATCCCTGACTCCTTTAATTTTGTCTATCTGAGATGGTTTCCAGACAGCTTCATTTGCTGTGATCACAAATTTAAGACAGGAATGGAAACCTTCTGCAGAGTCTTTCCTAGAAATGACCCAGTGGGTTTGCCCTCTCTGCAGAGCAGGTGTGTGCCAACTATTGGCAACACGTGAACTTTCAATCTTATGAGAATGCAAAGAGCCACCTCCAAGCAAACTGGACACTTAAACTTTCCATAATAAAACCTTTAGTACTTTTAGAGTGTCAGGTTTTCCATATACTTGAGGATTATCCATTTAAATTCCACAATTCAAACTTTTAACTCTTTTCCCTCAGTGTGTTTTAAAAGCATTTCAGGGTCTTCTAAATGGAGGTTAATTAGACATATATTAATATGCCTTAAATCATGAAAGGCCTCATTCTAACATCAGTTATTACAATATGCTGATTTTGAAGTGGTAGATCCAGTACCGATATAATGAGTTGAAGGTACTCTGGCTTGTTCAGGCGAATATAATTAACTATAAAAATAGTAGTTTTTTTCCCCTAGATTTTGCTGCTTAGGAGTTTGAGTCCATTTTATTTGGCCATTTGTAATGAAGCCAGGATATTTACAGCAATGTGAAGGGACAGAGAAACAAAGTTATGTTTTTACTTTGCAAGTGGAAGGTGGTGATAACCTCTTCCCTAGTGATTTTTTTTTCTTTTTTTAAAAAACATCTGTGCCTTCTCCGTTTCTTCCTCCTCCCCTTGTTCTTCTAAGTTAATGTTATTGAAAATTTATATATGATTCACAAAATCATCTGCAAGCATCAATAATGTTTGATTTTAGCCAGACATGGTGTCTCAAAAGTAAAAAACAAATAAACAAAAAGTAATAATGTTTGATTTTGCCAGACACATTGGCACATACTTAAAAAAAAAAATAGCACACACTAATCCCAGCCACTCAGGGAACTAAGAAGGATGGCAAATTTGACACACTGTTTTGAAATAAAAACAAAAAAGGCTGAAGATATAGTTCAGTGGTAGAGCACCCTGGATTCAATCCTCAGCCCCCTACACGAAAAAGTTTGATTTTGAGCAGAATTTCATATACAGAAATAATCACTAATATCACCGCAAGCTCAAGAGCATATACTTTACCAGCTGGTTGGCTTGTTTTGCACCTGAATGACAACAAACACACATATTAATGTGGACAAATAAATTATTTAACTAACCTTAGAGACATCCTTTCAGGGAGAACAAAGGAAGGCAAATCAGTAACTGGAGCCACCAAGTAAAATTAGAAAGCCTGGAGAAGAAGTAAGTTTTTCCAGAATTTAATTCTACTTTTATCATGCAAGGCACTACTATAGTTTAGCTCTGCCAGTCTTTCTTTGCTCCCTTCCTCTTTGTTGTCCCTGTCTCATAGTTGTTCTAATTTACATGAAACATTTGCACTTCCTGACTATCTCTCACAGAGGAAACCAATCACTGAACGGAGCCGTCTTCTCTCCCTGTTGGCATAGAATCTCACACGACTGCTTACAGCTACTTCTTGACCAAGGGTGCACTGCGACCTTCACTGTCAAGTCCAGATCGTTCTAGAAACTGGAGGATTCTGGACAATTAGTCTCAGAATAGTGAGTGGTTGACCATAGAATAAAGTTCCTCATGGACTTTAAACCACAGAGCAAATGTAAAAGTATGTTTATGTGGCAGATGATTCTACGCCAAAATGTTCATTCTGGAGGCTCACTTTACAGTGTTTTCTTCTTTAACATTACTGTTATGGTGTTTTAAAAACACAGCAGACTTTTGACAGTCACAGACTTAGTGTCTGTGGTTTCAATTAGTCGCATCCATTTAAATTAGGGAGACTTCCAGGATGGTCAAAAAGCAAATTAAAGCACTAAGCTGAATGATCCAAACCAACCACTCTATGTTTATGAGTAAATAATACGTTTTTATTCAATAATTTGAGTCCTTTGCATATATTTTCATATCCACCCCTTGTGAATGTTCTCCTTATATCCTAAAGGCTGACATATCATTATATGACATCAGTTATATCAATAAAGAAATATATGGTAGTTAATACCATAATAATGCAACACAGAAAACTGTCACATACTCTTATATGTAATTTATGTATACCAGGGACAAATGTACAGGCTCCAAAGGAAGAAGGGCATTATTTAGAAATTGATATCAAATTGATAATTTGGTAACCTAACAAACTTCTCTGGTAAGTGCAATGTATGCAGAAGATTAACTCATCCACTCAAATGATTATTGCTTAATGGCTGGGAAAGTTTTAAATGCTGGCTGAGGTTTTGTTTGCTCACTCTGGAGATGAACATAATCGATATGCTGGTGATTTAAGAGGAAGAAGGAGGGGGCTGGAACAGTGAAAGCTGCTTGGCAGGCTATCAAACCTGCAGTGAAAACTGGCCAGGGAAGCTCTGTAGATGCTGCCCCTCACCTTGCTTTCTAACCCAGGCCGCTCTTGCTCAGCATGAGATGAACACTGTGCTGATGAGTTGGATGTGAGGCTGGAGGTTACAAGCTCCCTGCCCTTACTTTTCTTTTTGGTTTAAAGGCGAATAAGATTCCAAATGCATGTTTTTCAATGGGTACACTCCAAGTGGTCTGGGTTGGATCCTCAGATTTATTATGGCAATAAAACCCATCAGTTTATTTTTATTTTTATTTTTGAGACAGGGTCTTGCTTTGTAGCTCAGTCTGGCCTTGAACTCACTAGGTAGCCCAGGCTGGCCTCAAACTCAGAGTGATCCTCCCAAGTGCTGGAATTACAGATGTGTGCCACCAGATCTGAGACCTGACATTTTAAAAAGCCAATTCACCTTGAGACCATAATGTTAAGTGAAATAAATGAGGCACACAAGTATGTTTAAGTATTGCATGGTTTCTCTAACATGAGAAAATCAAAATATAATTAAGGAGCATAATAAATGATAGATAACAGGAAGTAAGGAGAAAGATTTTTCTCAAATAGGAGGAGGATCAAGAAATGGAGGAAGGAGAAGGGAGATGAAAACAGGAATTAAAATCAGTTATGTTCATGTTCGAACTCCACACCAGGGATTAGGTACTGCAAACATGTACTACGTAATTTTTAACAGCCAAAAAAGCTAACCTGTTTGTAGAAGTACCCTACTTTTGAAAATTAAAAAATAGTCACTTGACTATGAGATAATAGTCATAGTTAAAAAGTTTTGATCATTTGTTAACAAGGTATGTTTTTGAAAGGTACTTTTTTCTAGTCTGATTGTTCTGTTTTCTTTTTTTCTCCCACTAGGTGTCACTCTGCAAATCTAAATGGTGTCTACTACAAGGGCCCCTACACAGCTGAAACTGACAATGGGGTTGTCTGGTACACCTGGCATGGGTGGTGGTATTCTTTGAAATCTGTGGTTATGAAAATTAGGCCAAATGATTTTATTCCAAATATTGTTTAATTGTCCCCATTGGGCTTTCATTTCTGCAATTCATCTTATTTAAAATAATTTGAGAAATAGCAATTCTGCACATATATACATAATGATGGCAATTATTGTGTGTGCTATTTTTCGTTCTTTTTACTGGCTTTTATTACTTAGTATATTTTGGGTGCAGCAAATACACATTATTTGCCAAATAAATGTAGATTGTGCTTATACTTATTGAATTCTTATGTGCAAAGGACTACAGAAAAATTTATATTGCACAAAAAATAAAATAAAAGCATAGACTATATATCATGATTTAGGATACAATACAAATATAAATGCATAATAAATTAAGTTTTAATGCAATTGACAAAACATGACAAAATTTAGCACATAATCATTACTGAATCAACACCACAGACAATAAATATGAGCTGGGCATTGAACTCAGATTTTGGCTACAGAGTTGAAAGCCTTAAGCATAGCCCAGAATGTTAAGCACTATAAAACACTACTTATATTTTTGCATGTTTGGGTAGGTTATGCATTTCTATCACAGGCCTCATATTCTTATGCCAGCCCTGGGAGACATTGTTATCGGCATTTAATAGAGCTGAAAATGTATGGTTCTGAGTTTCTGTGACTTCTAAAAGTTACAGAGTTAAAGAGAAGGGGAACAAGGACTTAAATCTAAGACTCAAGGCTTCTGATGCTAAACTGAATGTTTTGCCTTTATGCTGACACTCTTCTGGACAGAAGAGTAAAAGCCTGAGTCAAGATAAGATGTTCCAAAAAGTACTTGTATGCCAACTATACGTCAGGCCCAGAAAAGGCTGTTCAAGCACATGGGGAGGTCAGCTATTTGAGAAAGATTACATCATCCCAAAAATGTAAATGATTTTAAGAGCTGATAAGTTTGCAGCAGAACTGTATGCTTGGGGGATATATAACAGTGGGCCTGACCTGCTGTGGGGAGTGGATGGGGAAGCTGCTCACTAGGACTTTTTAAGCTGAGACCTTTTAAGTAAGTAAATTTGGGGAAATCATTGCAGGCTGAGGGAAGCCCTGTATATAAAGTACACAAATCAGGAAGGAAGTACATGGACATGCAAGAAGGTTAGATAGGCAATATCGTTTAATCATTCTTAAATCCTGAAGCCAGGGATTCTGACACTTCATAGCTTGTGGCCTTGGGAAGGATATTAACTTCTCGGAGCTTCACCTGTCTCACCTACAACATAGTATGTGCCTCACAGAAGTGTCTGGCATGTGATAAGACCTCAAACGTTTATTAACTGACTGACTCATTGAAGATATAAGTGAAAAAATGAACAAAATATATGAGTGTTATTCTGTTTGTGGGTTTTCTCTCTTTTTAAAACTAATCATTATTTTAAGTGTTGCTCTGAGGATTACACAAGTAAAACATTTAGCATTATGCCTTGCATGAAGTAAGCATTTGAAAATAACTAGCTATGGTTATTAGTGAAGTAGGCATTAAAAAGCAACAATAATAGATGTCCTTGAAATCACAAGTCTCACAATGATGTTAAGGTTAGTTGTGCCTGACCCTCTAACTCGGTGTTTCTCAAAGCATTGCTTCTTTAACTTTAATGTCATACAAATCACCTGGGGATCTTATTAAAATATAAGTTCTAATTCTGGGGTGGGACCTCTGATTCTGTTTTTTTAACAGGTCTCCAGATGATGCAGAAGTTGCCAGTCTAGGAATCACACTCTAGAAAAAGCAAGGGTTAGGGAACCATGGTTCTTGAGATACTAGTGGTTAGTGCAGGAGGAAAAGAGCATATAGCATGTCGCATTTTACATTTAGGTCAGAGTGTGTTCAGCTGCAAGGTGTACATTACCCGATTATGAAAGTCCAAGCAAAGAGGGATTTATTCTTCTTAGGTAACAAGAGCTCAGGGGGTAAGTGTTTGCTGGCAAGGTTTAATGCTCTCCTTTAATGTTTCTGCAACTTAAGCCTTTCTTCCAAATCCCAAAATATGCACTGCAGTTCTTGCTCTAAATCCTTTTTTAAAAAATCAGAATGGGATGTGATAGTCCACACTTACAATCTCAACAACTTGGGAGGTTGAGGCAGGATTGCAAGTTCAAAGCCAACCTGGTCAATTTAGCCAGACTCTTTCTCAAAATAAAAAATAAAAGGGTCTGGGATGTAGCTCAACATTCCCTGAATTCAATCCCCACTAACTCCCTGTTCCCTCAAAAAACCTGAAGGCTTCCATTTGTGCCTCAATGGCCAGAATTGCATCCTCTGTTCACTCCACCTGGAAGTAACTCTAGGAAGGAACATGTTCAGTTTTATAGACTGGGCATGCACACAAAAGGGAGAAGTGTTTGCCAAGGTCCCGAACATTCACTTTTTAATGAAATTTGTGGGAACAGTGTTTTGTAGGATACACTTTGGAAAGCTGTCAACAATAGAGTACCACACCATTTTAAATATTGGTATCATCTTGTCACTGGCTACCAGGGGTCCTTGCCTTAGTGAAAATTAAAACTAAAGTCACCATAGGAATTTATAGGCTAAAGCTTTAATTGAAAGGTAAGTGAAGATAAAGAAAGGTCTCCAGGCTGAGTAGTAGCTGGAGAAGGCACACTGATGAAGAGATCAGACTGGCTTGCAATGAGGACTGGGGGCCAATTTTAGGGAGTGGCAGTTCGCTGGGTACTGGTTGATCATGATCTCGGCCCTGACTTGTAGCTCGGGTTGAATCCTCCTAACTTGAGGGGCAATTTCATTCATGTGAAGTACTGCTGGAATCCCAGGTGACCACAGGTTTAGGCACAGTGATGGAGGAACTCTTAGAGCTTCCAATGATACAGACAGTGTGCTACGCATGGTGCCATAGGTTTGCACCACTGGTTTAGGGCAGTGGAGGTTCTGGGCAGAGCTAAATATCCCTATGAATCTCTTATCCTGGTGTCCTCACTCTTGAATGAGATATATTAGGTAAGTTTAAGGCTAGAAAAGCTTATTTTGGCAACTTTTGGGCAGACATTCCTTCTAAATACCTGACATGCTTATATGCAAAGCTGAGGACTTGACTTGGAGTTTTGCAAAACAAAGGCCAAACTTTGTTCAACTTTTTGTTACGTCAAGGCATTTGTGAGGCTAAGTGAAGACTCACAGTTTTTTTTTTTTTTTTTTTTTAGCAAAAACTGCTTTTAAGTCCCTGTCTATTTTACAAAAAACCACAAATTTATTTTCTTAATGAGTAACAGGGTAAGGGCCAGGAATTTGCCTTCTGTCCCTATAGTGGTCTCTATATATGACTATGTTCCTTGCTCAAGAAGAGTCTGAAGAACATATGTAATTAGGAGATCAAAAGGAATAAATGTTTTCAAAAAAAAAAAAAAAGATTCCACAGAGAAGTGTAAATGGAACTAAACAAGTATAATGTGTTTGAGGTTTATTTTGCAAAGAGAAACAATATAACACAGGACACATATTTTATATGATTATTTATAATGGTCACCCAAAGAAAGATATACAAAAAAGTGCTGGAAATCTGCCCATACACTAAGACAAAGGAATCCAGCTGAGGGTCTGGATCCCATGGAAATGTCCTGTATGAGTCCAGCTGAATACCTAGAGCTCATAACAATGCCTCTCATGAATCCAACTGGAGGCCCAGAACCCACGACAACGTCTCATGCAGGCCGGTTTCACAGATATGTGCTGGGAAGGCCCAAAGGTCAGTGATGGAATTTAGAAAGTCTGTGCCAGCAGGATGAAGGATCTGTGCTAGCAGCCTGAGAGATCCACACTGGAGCCAGGAAGTGATGCTCAGAAGAACCAGAGCTCCCCCGAAAGGTATCACAGCCACCCTCAGCAACAGTGAGGTCCCGAGCTCCTCCAATGATCAAGACAGCCGAGTTCCCATCAGGAAAGCCAACACAGCAAGCTTCTCCAAGACACTGGCAGTGAACCATCTTCCCCTCTGGAGCCAGGAAGCAATGCTTAAGGTGAGGACCAGAGCTCCCCCAAAGTGAATCAAAGCCATTTTCAGTGCCAACAAGGTCACGAGCTCCTCGGAGGATGAAAACAGCCGAGTTCATCAAGAAAGCCACCACTACAAGCTCCTCCAAAAAAATCAACAGCTCCTTACATTTTCCATCAGCTCCAACAGCCTTTCTCCACTCCCAAGAGCCTCTCTTCTTCTCCAGTTCTGCCTCTTATGCTGCTGGCAACAGTCCTCAGGTGGGCCTCCCACACCCAGCACCACGCTTACTCAGTTCAGCTAAGGGTTATTAGTTGACCACCAGTTGTCAGTCCACTACATATAGTGTTACATAAATCTCAATATAATAGCTTGTCAATGCAGAAGGAATAATTAAATGAATTAAAATGCCATAAAAGATAGAAGGGAAAGAGTTCTACTGAAAAATGGCTGGATTTGTTTTTCTAGTACCAAGAATCACACTCACAGCCTCACACTTGCCAGGGAGACACTGTGCTGCTGAGCTGAATCCCAGTCCAGATTGCTGGGTATGGTGAGAGTGTTGGTAGTGCTCTTCAGCCCATTTCAATGCAATGGGAGGTCTGTGGGGGGGCAAAAAATGGCAGCAGCTTGGAGGGAACAGGTGAGTTATTTGAGGAATCTGTATGTAAAAGAGAAAACTGATGTCATCCGAAGTCAACACATCAGGAAGACCCCAGCAAAAGAAGTTTCTCCATTCCTCTGAAATGCTACCATTAAAGAGTTGTTTATTACATTATCACTTTTTAAAATGCAAAATATTTTCAATTTATATCATCTAATTATACTTTAATTATACTTGAGTGGTTTTTTTCTTAAATGAAGTACAGAGAAAGGCCAGGAAAGCTGGAAAAAAAATGCCTTGGTTCAGAGACTCTTTGCATTAGAGGTTGCATCTGTCTCGTGCAGTTTCAGTGTCTGGCATGTGATAGGATCTCAAATGGTTGTTAGCTGACTGACTCACTGAAGAAAGAAGTGAACAAATAAACAAAATAAATGAATGTGCATCACAGAGGCCTGTATAAGTGTCACTGTTTGTGGTTTTTCTCTGTCTTTTTAAAATTAATTATTATTTTAATGTTATTCCATTTGATATTGTATAATTTATGACTACTGGTTATTTCTGTGATAAAACACTGGTTGCTATAAAATAAGAGTCTAAAATGGTATCCAGTTTCACATCCTATTTTTTCTGTTTGTTTGCTTATTTATTTATTTTTTTGAGACAGAGTCCTACTGTGTTGCCTGGGCTGGCCTGAAACTCAGATCTTCCTGCTTCTGTCTCCTCATTATATAGCTGGAATTACTATGTGCAGCTTGTTTGTTTATTTGTTTTTTTCGTTTTGATTGCCCATTACTAGTAAAGAATTTACAATTAAAAATATCGTAATCCTATACATATTGTGAACTTTTTTGATGGTGTTTTACCAGGACTACGAAAAGTGGATTGTTCTCCCTCATTTATGTTTGCAGAAAATATACATATATCTCATATACATGTGGAGAAAAAAATCTGTATGTGTCCATAACAGCCATTATGAAGACAGTTTCTTTTCTTTGTCTTTAGTTTCTTGAGATGGGGTCTTGCTATGTAGTTCAGGCTGGTCTTGAACTCACTAGGCAGCTCAGGCTGGACTCAAACTCACAAGCCTCTTGCCCCAGGCTCCTAAATTCTGGGATTACAGGTGTGCACCATCATCCCTAGCTAATGTTCTTTATTATATTTTTATATCATTTAGCATTGTGTGAAATTTTTCATCATATGCATGTAGTACCCATTCACTAATAATTTTTATTTTTGTTTTTTAATTTTAAATATAAAAGGAGGAAAACATTAACAAACAGACAGTTATTTACAAAATAGTGAAAGAACAATACAAACAATACAGAGTTACAAAAAAGTGGTAGGAAATTAACAATGCTTGTCGTATTACATATTTATATCTTGAAAGAGGTTTTTCAGGAAAACAAATAGAGACATGCAATATTGATCAGTCAAGGAATCATTAACTGCTTCTTTCAGCAAAGAAATAGAAGACAGTAGATCAACTATGTTAACTATCCTGTACATACATACATATAAAATTTCTCCTTCTTTCCCTTCTCTTTTCCCACATCCCAGTTGCCCTTTACCCTTCAGCATTTTCCTCTCACTTCACAATGTCTATAATACCTACTAGTTTTTAGTCACTCTTAGGTTTTACACTAGTGAGACAATGTGGTGCTTGCACATGCACGTCTGATCTATTTCACTGATGAGTATGGTCTCTAGTTGTGACCACTTACCTATAAAAGCCTTGAGTTTATCTTTCTTTATAGCTAATATTCCATTATATAAAGTACCACAATT